TGAATTGGTCAGTTTCTTGCTTTAGGGCTTACTCTTTTTCTTACATGAGAAAATTCTCCCTATTTTTGGATCAATGAAGTGTTTACCTGTGACTTCTAAAAGTATCCTACTTTTATCTTTCATATTTAAATCTACAATGAACTGGCTATTGTCCATGGAATAGAAGGGAATACAAGGCATTTTTCCACTTAGATAACAGTTTGTCCGTGCCCCGGGTATTAGTGTCATGACATTTGCCACTGCTCTACAATGCCCCCTCTGCCCTTGACCAACTTTCCATGTTAAATCCCAACCCACAGAAGACACTTTTCCTTTCCTTTCATCTGTTTTTCTCTCTGCTAATACTATGCTGTCTGGAATAATATAGTTTGAAAATTCTTGATTATATCAGGCAAGCCATCACGTTGTGCTTCAGGAGACTTTGACCATTTTTTGACATTTGTTCCTCCTATTAGATTGGGAGAAATAGTTTCTGTTGACTCCTGAAACGTCTCTTTGGGGGATTGATAGAATTTTATAAAGGTATATTTTGGGACAGGGTAGGTAACATCATGGTGACATTGAGTTCTTTCTAAGAACATGTGCCATATTCTCACTTATTTTATTCTCCTTTGATGTTATCCAATAAAAAATTTAAAATTTTTCCCTTAGGATCATCAGATATCATTCGTTAGTTTTGTTTAGTGCCTAATTAGATTTTTTCTGGAGGAAACCAAATGCAAGCTTCCAGATGTTCTCTCCTAGAGTAATAACATAGGATGGGCTCCATCCCCCCAAGCAGCAGGTGGTGAGAACACATGTGAAATATTGTCTTACAGGGAAGCTCGTTAGAGACTCAGTGCCCAGAGTGATTTTGGGCAGCAGCGCACATAGGCACCTTCTGCCAAGTATAACAAAAGTTTAGACTCTCAAAATAACAGTTCAGGATGTATGTACCATTTTCTTTGCATAAACAGCTTAGGCGTACTGAGTCACTCTTTTATCAGTTAGGTTGCTGGGATCCCTCATAAATCCCACTTCCCATATAGCAAAGAAGGACAAACATTATGAGCAGGCTTTCCTAAGGATCAGCAGTCTCAGGCCTGCTGATGTTCACTCTCTTCCACACACTAGGTAGTAGGACATTGTTATGAGCAGGCTCTACAGATCCACTGTAGAAAGAGTAATTAGAGCCACCCCAAGCAGCTCATTTAACTCCGTGGACCTGCCAAGAAGTGGGGATTTCCTATTCTGTTCCTTAACCAAATGAGTAAACTCTACCTTTGGAATTACTGTGTCCCCACCTTTTCTCTGCCCCCTGCACATAGACATCATTGGGTTATGATCTTTTTCAGAGTCCGGTGTTTAAGGGAATTATGTGGCTGAGGGATTCCTGTGCCCAGAGGTTGGGCTGTCATGTTTCCATGCACCACAGGGCACAGAAGTGAGAGAAGTGGGAGGACAGCTTCTAGAGTGTCTGGTGGAGAAGCACTGCCTCCTGAAATTGGAGAAGGACAGTTTTGTGTTCTCTTAGCAGAAAGTGCTTAGCAGAAACCTTTATGTGTTTTATATGATGGGCACATTTACCGTCAAACCACTGAGGTCTTCAATGAACTCACTTGCACATTACAACTCTTAGCTGGTTCCTCAAGGTCAGCAAGGCCCAGGGTACACTGTTACAGTTTTGCTGGAAAGAGCTCTTGCAGCGTCTTATCGTCTCAGGATATGTGTGGTGTGTATGCTAAAATTTGGTGAGAAGCAGCTCTGAGGCCACTGACTATAGGGATTTTTGTGGAGGTCTCAGTTGTCATGCCTTTTTTCTCATGCCTGAACTCTTAACTTTTTTTTTTGATGGTGATGTAATTTTTATTTCCTTATAAGTCATCAGTTTTTTCTTTCATTTTTTCTTTCTTGAGATAATGTTATATAAATTTCAAGTGTACATCTTTATATTTCAAGTTCTATATAGACTACATCATGTTCACCACCAAAAGTCTAATTGCCATCCATCACCATACAAATGTGCCCCTTTACCCCTTTCATCCTCCCCCATCCCCCGTTCTAACTTGTGAATAACTTCCTGGCCTTATGAAGTGGGACAGAGATAAAAAGGAATAACCGAATCTGTGACATATTTTTACAGACAAGTTAAAATTAATACTTCTCCACAGGAATATTTTCATTCAGCCAGCTGCATCTGACTATTTCTGATGGCCTGGAGTGCTTCAGGACAATGTGGCTGACTGGTCTTAGTTATAAGTTGGATTTCCACGGGCCTCCGGCTTCTCATGTTTGGGAATGGGAATAGAAAAAAAAGCTTCCAGTTCCTTACTGTGTTTTTATTCACTAAAACCTCATGCATCATGGAATGCTGCATGATATGGTGGGTAATAAGGAGATGAAAGAGTTTTTCTCACAAGGAATTGATGGTCTTAAAATGGAAATATTTTTTTCGTTTATATAGCATTTCTTTCATTTCTCCAACTTGCTCCAGACCCTACCATTACAGAGTAAGACTTGAAGTGATCATCATAAAAGTGTAGAGATAACTTCCATGTGTCCATGATGCTATTAAGTTGATGAGTCAGTGATTATGTATAGAGAGAGAGAATTCTGGTGACCAAGTCACAGAATAAATATTTTGAGGTCACAGAATGACATGTGAATTTATTATGAATTGTCTATAGATTCCTAGTACCATCAGTCTCATCTATCTTCCTGTACCCATATGTGGGATGTTTTAGGATTCAGTGGCCTTTGAGGATGTGGCTGTAAACTTCACCCTGGAGGAATGGGCTTTATTGGATCCTTCACAGAAGAAACTCTACAGAGATGTGATGCGCGAAACCTTGAGGAACCTGGCTTCAATAGGTGAGGATGACAACGTTCCTTCACTGAGTCAATTAGAGAACAAGTGTTTCTTACCTGTTAACGTTGTTCTATGATTTGGAATGAGGAAAGGGAATACTTTGGTTAATAAACCCTGCATAGTCAGAGCTCATTATGGACCTATAATGTAATAATTTTTCTATAATTTACTGATTTTTCTGGGTCTGCATTATAGGGAAAAAATGGGAAGACTGTAACATTGAAGATCAGTACAAAAAAAAGGGAAGAAATCTAAGGTGAGTTGCACTCAAAACGGAAAGCAGTGTCACATAAGGGAATCTTCGTATGTTGTGAAAATTTAAAAACAAGCAGACACAAAACAGCCCAGCTTCAAATTTATTCATTTTCAGAAAATTTTGACAAAAAATGTTTTCCATTTTGTTTTGGCAGGGAAAGATTCACCTTGAGCTAACATCTGTTGCCAGTCTTCCTCTTTTTTTTCTCCCTCCCCAAAGCCCCAGTGCATGGTTGTATATCATAGTTGTTAATCCTTCTAGTTCTTCTGTGAGCCACCGCTACAGCATGGCAACTAACAGATGGGTGGTGTGGTTCCGTGACCGGGAAACAAACCCAGGCTGCCGAAGCAGTGAAAGCACCAAACTTTAACCACTAGGCCATCAGGGCTGGCTCAAATGTTTGCTTAATTGTGACTGATGTTCAGTGTTTCCAAAATAGTTTGCTTGGAAACGGTATTCAGAAACTCTATCTATGAATATCCCTGTTTTGATAAAAGCTGTAGTCCAGTCTTCTTATTGCACATTCACTATATTCACTTTCAAACAATTCAGACAGGGCAGAAAACCTAGTTTCCCTATAAATGGTAAAAAGTAATTCTAATATTTACTAGTAAATATAAAATCATTAATAAAGAAATCATCAATAATGTACTCCTAATTTTTTTTACAGAAGTCGTGTGGTAGGGAGACCCTGTGAAAGTAAAGAGGGTCGTCAGTGTGGAGAAAACTTCAGCCATATTCCAAATCTCAATCTGAACAAGAAAACGTCTACCAAAGTAAAACCATGGGAGTGCAGTACATGTGGAAAAGTCTTCATGAGTCATTCATCCCTTAATAGGCACATGAGATGTCACACTGCGCCCAAACCGTACAAGTATCAAGAATATGGAAAGAAGCCTTATAAATGTAAGCATTGTGGGAAAGCCTTCAGTTATCTCCAACCTTATCAAAAACATGAAAGAAATCACAGTGTAGAGAAAACCTATAAATGTAAGGAATGTGGGAAATCCTTTAGATATCGCCAGTCTGTTCGCAAACATGAACGGACTCACACTGGAGAGAAACCCTATCAGTGTAAACAGTGTGGAAAAGCCTTTAGATATCATCAGACCTTTCAAACACATGAGAGGACTCACACAGGAGAGAAGCCCTATGAATGTAAACAGTGTGGTAAAGCCCTCAGTTGTCCCAGTTCCTTTCGAAGTCATGAAAGGACTCATACTGGAGAAAAACCTTATGAATGTAAAAAGTGTAGTAAAGCCTTCAGTTGTCCCAGTTCTCTTCGAAAACACGAAAGAACTCACACTGGAGAGAAACCCTATGACTGCAAGGAATGTGGGAAAGCCTTCATTTCTCTTGGAAGCTTTCAGAGACACATGATAACACATACTGGAGTTGGACCTTATAAATGTAAGGAATGTGGGAAAGCATTCAATTGTCCCAGTTCATATCGAATACATGAAAGATCTCACACTGGAGAAAAACCCTATGAATGTAAACAATGTGGTAGAGCCTTCAGTTGTTCCAGTTCCTTTCGAACACATGAAAGAACTCACACTGGAGAGAAACCCTATCAATGTAAGGAATGTGGAAAAGCCTTCCATTGGCTCACTACTTTTCAAGTCCATGTGAGAACTCACACTGGAGAGAAACCCTATATATGTAAGCAATGTGGGAAAGCCCTTAGTTGTCCCACTTCGTTTCGAAGACATGAAAGGACTCACACTGCAGAGAAACCCTATGAATGTAAACAATGTGGGAAAACCTTCAGTTCTGCTCTAGGTTTGCAGATACATGGAAGAACTCACACTGGAGAGAAACCTTATAAATGTGAGGAATGTGGGAAAGCATTTGTTTCTCTCACAAGCTTTCGAAGACACATGATGACACACACAGGAGATGGACCTTATAAATGTAAGGAATGTGGGAAAGCCTTCAATTGTCCCAGTTCATTTCGAATACATGAAAGAACTCACACTGGAGAGAAACCTTATGAATGTAAAATATGTGGTAAAGCCTTCAGTTGTTCCAGTTATGTTCAAGTGCATGAAAGAAC